GACGTTTGGTTTCCAGAGCTGTGAGAAAATAAAGTTCTGCTGTTTAAGCCAGTGTTTGTGGTACTTTCTTACAGTGGCTATAGGAAACATAACACAGTATTTAAGAAACCTTTCCACACTATTTCCTACAACTGTACGGCAGTCTAAAATTATCTCAATTAAAAACAGATTACCGCTGGGCTCGGTGGCTCAGCCTGTAATCTCGTGCCTTTGGGAGGCGGAGGTGAGGGGATTGCCTGAGCCCACGGGTTCGAGACCCGCCTGGGCAACTTGGCGAGATCTCATCTCTACAATAAATCAAAAAAATTAGCCGGGCGTGGTAGCGCGCACCTGTAGTTCCAGCTACTTGGAAGGCTGAGGCAGAAGGATCACCGGAGCCCAGCAGGTAGAGGCTGCGGTGGCCGGGAGCAGCCACTGCACTCCAGTCTGGGTGACAGAGTGAGACTCCAACTCAAAAAAACAAAACAAAACAGATTACCACATGTCAAGCAATCTTCTAAGAGATGTAGTAGAAGACAAGAGCCACTGCAAGCATGGAACTTAAGTTGCAGCAGGAGAGACAAATAAACAAGGTAAAACATATAGTATATTAAATAGTGGTCAAAGAGCCGAAGAGATTTTTTAAAAGGAGGGAGAGAAATATGAAGTTTCTGGGGTGAGGGTGGAGAATAAATTGAAATTTTAGAGTGGTCACAGAAAGCCTCACTGGGAGGCTAACTTTTGAAAAAGGGAAGTGAGTCATGCTGATGGCTGGGGGAAGAGTATTCCAAGCAGAGAGGACCACAGAGGAAAGGAGGGGTGAATGATTCCTCCTGTAAGTTCCACATCTGATTTTCAAATCAAGCTTATCATATCCACACTTAAGAGGATTGGGGGGGGTTCTCTTTTCTCTTAAACAACAGTATAACCTGGGATTGTCTGTTTCTTGGCTTGTGAAACACCTCTTTCTTTATTATCCTCCTTATCATAATGACTATTCCTTTTCAGTCTGCTTTCCTGGGCCTTCCCCGATTTCTAAGGGTTGGTGTGCCTGAGAACCAAGCCCTTGAATCTTTTTCTTCTTTTCCATTCTTATTCCCTAGGTGAGTTCATTTAATCAATTGGTTTAAAACACCTTATTAGAGGCTCACAAATCTCAAATTTTAAACCCCAGCCTGGCCCTTTCTCTTCAACTTCAGACTCCTATACTCAACAATTATTTGATGTCTCCATTTGAACGTTTAAGAGATATAAACTTAATATATTCAAAAGAAAAAATCGAATTCCCCTTTTCCCTAAAAGGAATGTCAACCTCACCTTCCAGTGGTACACACAAAAACTTTAGAATTATACTTGATGATTCTCTTTCTTTATCCACATCTAATTTACCAATGAATTGCCACTATCTTCAAAATACATGCAGAATATGACCTCTTTGAACAATCGTTAACCATCTCTCATCCAGTTACTGCAAAAGCCTCTTAAGTGCTCCACTGTTTCAGCCCTGGTCCGGTGATTTGTTCTCAATACAGCAGCCAGCTCATAACACTTGTCTGATTCAAAACTTTCCAATGGCTTCTTGTCTTACTTAAGAAAAAGCTTAGGTCCTTATAGTGGTTTGCCAAACTCTATGTGATCTGATCCTTTGCACATTCCCTGCTATTATCATTTTGTCCAACTTTCCCTGTTGCTTACTCTACACTCCAGGAATACTGTTGTTGCTATTCCTCAAATAGGCCAAGCATACTCCTGTATCAGGGCTTTTTACTTGCTATTCCTTCTGCCTGGGATGTTCTTCTCTCATGGCTCACTCCCTTACTTCTTTCAGGTCTATCTTCAAATGTAATCTTATGAGCGAAACATCCCTGAACATTGTATTAATATAAAATCACAACCTTCCTCACCACCACTTTGGGTCTTCTTAAACCTGCTTTACTTTTCTTCATAGCATTTTTCACCAATTAGCATACCATGTATTTATCGGTTACTTATATTTGTCTACTCTTTCACTAGAATGTAACCCGTACAAAGACAAGAATATTGCCAGTTGTGTTCACTGCTGGTTTCTCAAGTGATGCGAACAGTGTCTAGATCATAGATGATGTTCCCTAAAATGTGCTGGATCAGTATTTATATGTGTGTATTAGATATCTTGTTAACTTCATCCAAATAACCTATTTACTTTTTTTTGTCTTCCTAATCTATCAATTATTGAGAAAAATGTTAAATCCTTCTACCATCATTGTATATTTGGAAAGTTCTTATAATTTTGTAAATTATTGCTTTATTTATTAAGGCTATTTTGTGAATTGAGTAAAAGTTCAAAACCATTATCATCTTCCTGATTAACTGCTCTTTTTCTCATTAGACAATTACCTTATTTATCCAAAATAATGCTTTTTTGGCCTTAAAGTCTGTTTCATCTAATATGAATAAGTATACCCTCTCCATAAATAATGTGTTTTCATACAGCTCAATTAGATGTATCCAACTTATTTTTTACCTTTGATTCTCATAACCCATTCTTCCTTTTGTTTCAACGTTCTTCCTCACAAATACATCCTTTAATAGTTCTTAGTCTTTATCGTTTTTTCCAAATGTGTTTGATTTTGACTTCAATCCTTAAAGGTAATGTAACTGGGTACAGAGTTACAAGGTTTTAGATAAATGGAAGATAATTATAGCCATTCTTGGCAGAAGCCTTTATGTTTTCAATTCCTTATTTTCATTGACTTTGGAGTTTCTCTAATAACTATAACTGAACATATTATATTTATGAAACTAAAGTTACAAGTAGAGGAGATTAATCCCTTTTTCCCCTATCTTAATTCTAAATTGCAAAAATAAACACCCAACTATAGTAACCCATATGAAATATTAGCTTAAGCCGGGCTCGGTGGCTCAGCCTGTAATCCCGCGCCTTGGGAGGCTGAGGTGAGTGGATAGCCTGAGCCCGCGGGTTCGAGACCTGCCTGGGCAACTTGGCGAGACCTCATCTCTACAATAAATCAAAAAATTAGCCGGGTGTGGTAGCGTGCGCCTGTAGTTCTAGCTACTTGGAAGGCTGAGGCGGAAGGATCACCAGAGCCCAGCATATCGAGGCTGCGGTGGCCGGGAGCAGCCACTGCACTCCAGTCTGGGCGACAGAGTGAGACTCCGACTCAAAAAAAATAAAAAAATAAAAAAGAAATATTACCTTAAAATGGCAATACTTATCCCTAACTAGTAGAAAACAAGAGAAAATACAAAAGAAAAAAATAAACTTTTAAAGTCAGGTCTCAACATTAATTTCATCATGTTATATGTGTTATAAATTTCTAGGACAGAGATAACAATAAAGAAACTACTAAATTTCAGTCTTACACGAAATTTAATTGGAGGAAAAAAAGGAATGTTTATTAAAATTACTTGCATAAATAAAAAGAAAGGGAATGGATATACAACAGTCCCACCTTATTCAGAGTTTTACTTTCTGCTGTTTCAGTTACTCGCAGTCAACCCTGGTCTGAAAATATTAAATGAAAAATTCCAGAAATAGACAATCCATAAGTTTTAGATTACCTTCTGAATAGTATGACAAAATCTTGCATAATCCTGCTCTGTCCTTTCCAGAATGTGTGTCATCCCTCCATCCAGCATACCTATGCTTTATATCTACCAACCCTTTAGTCACTTAGTAGTCGTCTGGGTTATCAGATGACGGTTGCAGTGCTTGTGTTAAACTCTTATTTTAGCTTTTTTACAATGTATTATTATAGGTGTTCTATTTTATTATTAGTTACTGTTATTAATCTTTTACTGTGACTAATTTAAAATTGAACTTCATCATAGGTATGTATGTATAGGAAAAAGAACATAGCATATACAGGGTTTGATACTATCCATGGTTTCAGGTATCCACTGAGGGTCTTGGAATATATACACTGAGGTTAAGGGGGAGACCACTATAACATTTTTTTTTTTTTTTTGAGTTGGAGTCTCACTCTGTCACCCAGACTGGAGTGCAGTGGCCGCTTCCGGCCACCGCAGCCTCGACCTGCTGGGCTCTGGCGATCCTTCCGCCTCAGCCTTCTAAGTAGCTGGAACTACAGGCGCGTGCTACCACACCTGGCTAGTTTTTTGATGTATTGTAGAGATGAGGTCTCACCAAGTTGCCCAGGTGGGTCTCGAACTCGCAGGCTCAGGAAGTCCACTCACCTCAGTCTCCCAAGGCGCAGGATTACAGGCTGAGCCACCGAGCCCGGCTTATAACAGTTTTATAATAAAATATAAAGGAGGAATGAAGGCAAACTGAGTTTGAACCAAGGAATACAAAAGGTCATTCTTAATTTCTCAAAAAGGAGATATTATATTTGTGAATTTTATAACTTACATATAGTATTACATTACTGTATTTCAACTAAGATAACCAAAAAGCTTGCTTAACTTGCCAAACTTTTCCTGCAAGGATGCTGGAAATGAATGAAAAATAAAGAAGAACTCTACAAAGTTGAAATGTAACTTAAAAAATATCAAGAGGAATTAGGAAGCTCATATGCAACCTGCTACACTGTAGTGTTCATAATTGCTAGGGTTTGGCTGTGTGTCCCGATAAGCATGTATTGGAAACTTAATCCCCAATTCAACACTGTTGGGAGGTAAGGTTTAATGTGAGGTGATTAGGCCATGAGGATCTACCCTCATAAATGGATTAATGCTGATATTGTGAGAGTGGGTTCATTATAAAAGGGCAAGTTTGGTCCCCTTTTCTCCTCTCACACCCTCTCTTTGTCGTTCTGCCATGGGATGACACAACAAGAAGACCCTAGCCAGATATCGTCCCTCAATCTTGGAACTTTATAGCCTTCAGAACAGTGAGCCAGCACACTTTTGTTCATTATAAATTACCCTATCTGTGAGATTATGTTATAGCAGCACAAATGAACTAAGACAATAACTAAATGCCTGAGCCAAATAGCAAATATATTTCATTTCTTGTGCCTTAAGCATTTTATTCATACCTTCCATCAAAGTGAATTTACCTTTTTATTCCCTGAAATGTACTGCTAGCCATGTCTATGATGCCTCCAGTTGGCCTTGCTACTGCTCCAACCAAACCTTTCCCAACACCTTTAAAGAAACCAGCTGCTCCTTCTTTTTGAGCTCCTAGAAAGAAAAAGGATAAAGTTTATGACAATTGGATAAAAAATGAAAACAGAATAAACTTATGAAAGACTTGGTGATATATATCACCCAAAGGGATTACTATACTTGCCTTTGATTGGTTTTGTAACAATTCCTGTTATGCCACTAACAAAACCCTAAAGGAAAAACACAATTGAAATTTATTATACTTTCATATGATGCCTATAGGAATCAAGTCTGGCTTACACAAAAAATAAAGTTCTGCTTTTTATATACTATAAGAATTAGCATATTTCCTAAGCATTTTATTCAAACAATATTTTTGGAGGTTACTGACATATTTTATATGCTACCACCTATTGATCTTAAAACATCCAAATAATTTAAGGAGTTACAAGTCTATTTCCTTATCCACAGAACGTAGGTTTAAAAGATATTTCCTGAAATATCCACAACCCTGTGAGATTTCTTACAGAAACTAAGCCTTTTCCTCCACGTGTGATGCCTTCTCTAAGTCCAGCTGGTTGCTTATTCATGGCTTCTCTTCTCTTCTGTTGGTAGTCTTCATCCATAGTCATAGCTGCTACCCCTTTTGCCATAGCACCAGTGATTTTGGAGGCAGCACCAGCTAATCCACCTAACAAATTATGATATCTTTAGTAGGAGCAATGCTATCATTACTTTCTAGCACAGTAATACTTTGTAGACATTCTGTTTTCTTACCAACAGCTCCACCAACTAGTGCCTTTACTCCTAGTGCCATTCCCTCCACAAACTCTTCAGGACCCTGGATGGCTCCCTAAAGGGCCAAAGAGTGAGTGAGTTAGCTATATTCACTTTTAAAGGTGAGCTTATAGATACACATGAGGAAGGAGGGAGCAAAAAAAGGATAAAGATATCCCAGAGGAGTGACACCAGCAAAAAACTTCACATTAAAAAGAATTCTCCAGGATATTTCATGACCCGAAAGTACAAAGAATGTAATATCGGATGTTGACCCAAACTTTCTAAGTTTGACAATCTGAGTTCACCAAAGTGTAGAAAGATGCTAGCTCTATATTGTAAGTTTTATGATGAAAAGGCAAGAACAGTTCAAATTACTCTTGATAAATTTTAAACAAAAGAAATAAAACACTTTAAAATTATTAACATTATAAATTACGATGTATAAGATAAATATGCTTTATTTTATTTTTTATTTCCTTATACATTTATAAGTGAATGTATAAGTTCTTTTGAAAGAAAGGGGTTAGTTTTGTCCTTTTTTTTTGAAACAGAGTCTTGCTCTATCACCAATGCTGGAGTGCACTGGAGCAATCATGGCTCACTACCTTGCATTCCTGGGCTTGAGCCTTTGGAGTAGCCAGGATAACTTAAAAAAAATTTTTTTTTGTAGAGACAGTACCTCTCTTTGCTGCCCAAATTGGTCGCAAACTCCTGGTTTCAAGTGATCTTCCCATCTTGGCCTCCCAAAGTGTTGGGATTACAGACATAAGCCACAGTGCCTGGCCTTGACAGAAAGTTTTGAGAGACACAGTACCATCATAGTTTTCCCCATTGGTTATTAAGGTTGCTTGGTATGGTGTCAGTATGTATGATTATCTTTACAGTTCCACATTGCTGTGTAAAGGAAGACTGCCTGTACATGGTGACCGTCTTTTTTACTAAAGTCTAAAATATTTCCACCTTTGTATCCCAACAGAATACTTAAAATTCAATATATCTTAACATAATCTTAAGTTTAAATTTTGAGGAAAAAGGTAAAAATTATTCCCAAAGACCCCTCAAACATCTTACTCCTGTTTGCTGCAAAATAATATCCTTCTGTGGGTCTCTCAAAATCAACTTATACCTACAACTTAAGTTAACAAAATAAATGTATTATCTGTTCAAAAGTATTTGTGTGATGTATTGCAGAATGAAAAAATTATTATTTTACCTGGTAAGGTTCATAAAAAAATGCTTCCACACCTTCAGAAAATTCTCTAATTAAGCCAAAGGGATTTCCCAAAACATCAAGTCCAAGGATGAGCACATACATCTGCTTAATGGCCTAAAAATAAAGTATGAGCATCAATTAATTCAGATAATTAGATCTAATTTCTTTTTTATACACACATCTAGTTTTCTCAGGTTAACATCTTTAACACCAATTTCAACACTTAAACCACATACTTTATTAATCACTATTCTCAGTTTATAAAAAACAATTTGGTGTTATAGTATTAGAGATAATGACATTATACTCATGGAAGGCTCTAAAATATTTAAAAATTGCTTTAACTTTTATAGTTATTTGTGATAGTTGTTATAACCATCACCATTTTATAGATTGGAGAAACATACAGGTCAAATGATACCCAGGGTTACATAGTGGGTATTTGGCAAAAGTGGGATCTAAGCCCAGATCTCTTATGTCATGCTCAGTGATCTATCATATCATAGCTATCTCAGATGTTCTGTAAGACATTATCACAAAACACTTTCTAAGGTGGAAAAAATCTATTAAAATAACATATCCAGCTGATTCAACAACTAGTTACATTAAAAATATCTTGTGTTCATCAGTTAGCTACTAATAAATAGTTTCCTTTGAACCAATTTTTTAAAGTGTGGTAAATTACTTAGCTAATATTTTATTTAAAGATTAATTTATTTCTAGTCCACACTGATCCAAAAAAATTGCTGTAGTGGCTTAAAAATATATGGACATAAGATTAAAACAGTGGTTGAGCTCAATTTTTTCCTACAATCCTAAGGACAAAAACATGCTTTCAAATTTTGAAACTGGCTATTTGCTTCCTTGACAAGTCTACATTATGTAAATACAGACATAAGGTTTCACTAGTCCATATCAGTCTGTCCCTTTGTAAGACAATCTTTGACAAACCTGTTTTGAATAGTGTCTTATTACTTCGGACTGCAGGTCAGATGTTGTATGGAACTGATAGTTGAGTTCAAAAAATGCAAGCCTGAAAAAAAATATTTTTACATACATCTCTGCACATTCTAGTCAAAGAACCCTCTAAGAACCTGATAAAAGCTATGGCTCTTATCCTCAGAAAAGTTGCCAACAGATACAAATTTTCGTGTAATTTAGGGGATTGAGAGACTCCTTGGATTCCATTTGTGGACCACCAGAGTGGTATTTCCCAACTTTGTACTATTATGGCCCACGTAGACAATGTTTGACACACTGAGAAAAGGCTGCTCAAGAATGGCCAGGGATCAGTTGCTGAAGGGCCTGCTTAATGGGCTGAGATAGGAGGAGTCAAGATCAACTTACCTATAAGCCATTTATGGTACATATCTGATCCACAAATTGAAAAGCTCTATGCTTCTTATAGCTAAACGCAAAAGCAACAAGACCAGAAATTTCAACCTATTCCTCCTAATATCATACTATGTTCTTTTATCTGACACTTAACCTGACTTTATCTAGGTTCAGAGTTACTTCTTATTGAACTTATTAATTTTTACTACCTTTCCTAATATTCACTTCTAGATGTTACCTGAAAAGGTCTTACTCTTCTGAAGTCTCCTCACGTCAGATTCTTTGTTTTGATGTGGAGTCTCACTTTGTCGCCCAGGCTGGAGTGCAGTGGCACCCTCACGGTCACCCATAAGTTGATCTGCTGGGCTCCGGCAATCCTTCTGCCTCAGCCTTCCAAGTAGCCAGAACTACAGGTGTCTGTTACTATGCACGGCTAATTTTTCTTTTTTAAAAAATTATTTATTGTAGAGATGAGGTCTCGCCAAGTTGCCCAGGCTGGTCTCTAACCTGTGGGCTCAGGCAATCCACTCGCCTTGGCCTCCCAAAGTGCTGGGATTACAGGTTGAGCCACCGAGCCCAGCCCTCAGACTCTTCATCTTTTCATTCAGATAACCTATTAGCTACCATTATGACTAACAATAAAATATAAATTCTTGACTATAACATTTAAACTGATCCTTTCATCATGCCATTATTACACTCATTCTGCTCTAGTTGCATATGCTTTGAAGAATCTTGACCCTATTGGCTTCAAATCCACATCTTTCAAGCACACCTTTGGGGATATACATCTTAGAAATCCTTCCCTAGGCCAAAAAACTTTTCTAAAATACATACTTGAATGACTTCTATCTCTTTTTCTTAAGGAAATTATTTAATAATTATTCTACAATTTAGTGATTAACCGTTAGTAGGTAATATGCTTGGCATTATTTAAAATGTATTCCATTTAGAGGCAAAAAAACCCCAAACCATTCTGCCTATGATCTGCAAATACTTTACATACTTTTCATTTACAAAATTTTTAGGTAAATATAAAATAGTCTTCAACAATTTACAGAATGGAATATTAAACTTACTTAAAAACTACATCTTGTACGTCTGTAAGAGTGGCACCAATACTCTTCAGCAAGAGATTTAAAGAATGAACTGGAATCAGTCCTCCATCTTGCTTTGAATCTTTAGCTTCTTCTCTGCCTGAACTCAACGAAACACTTAAATGCAACTAGAAACACAAAGAGATAAATATTTAAAAGTATTTTCTTTGTATTGACAGTTTTAACACTTAAAAACCAGTTTCCTTTTCAATTCACTACATCATAAGATTTCAAAGTTATCTGGTTTATATCAAAATTAAGTAGCAGAAACTAAAAGAAATTTAAAATCTTATATAGCTATTTATATTTGAAATTCAACAATTTAAGATTGTATAATATTTGGTTCAATTCTGTGTGTTTTTTTGTTGTAAACCTAGGAAAACACTGGTTTTATATATTTGGTAATAACATTAACAATCAATAAGTTGAAGCTGTTTTTAAAATAACTCGAATATATATAGTCTCCAACTTACAATGGTTTTTGACCTAAGAGTTTTCAACTTTATGATGGCATGAAAGCAATATGCGTTCAGTAGAAACTGTACTTTGAATTTTGATTCGGAATCCTTTATAATACCTTCATTAGAAAATAGGATTTGTGGTAGATGATTTTGCCCAACTGTAGGCTAGTGTTATAAGTGCTTCGAGCATGTTTGAGGTAGGCTAAGCTAAGCTATCATGTTTGGTAGATTAAGTTGTTGTTGTTTTTTTTTTTTGAGTGGAGTCCCACTCTGTAATTCAGGCTAGAGTTCAGTGGCACAATCACAGTTCACCATAGCCCTGACCTCCTAGGCTCAAGCAATCTTCCCACCACCTCAGTCTATCACAGTGCTGAGATTACTGGCATGAGCCACCATACCTAGCTTAAGTAAATTTTTTTTTCTATATATCAGTATTTTTTATTTTGATATTATGAGGTACAGTTAAGGGTTAGGTATACAAATATGCTTCGTTCAGGCACCCTTGTGGATAAGGGGTGTCTCCCTATCCCCAGACAGATACTGACTACTGTTAATCCCACCTCCCTCCCACCCCCATAGTTTCCCACCACTGTCAGTCCTTTTCTTATAGTATTACGATGGATGTTCAAGGTCTACTATATGAGTGAGAACATGTGATATGCAGATCTTTGTTTCTGTGAGAGGTCACTCAGTATTATAGACTCAAGTTCCATCCCGGTTGCTGCGAAATTCAAGATTTTGTTCTTTTTTATGACTGCATAGTATTCCATTGTGCATATGTACCACATTTTTTTAATCCAGTCCTCTTTTGATGGGCAGCAT